AACTTGGTAACTAATAAATTGTTGATAACTCAATAGCTGCCGTACAGGCAGTGATTGTTGCGAGCTACAGTTTTGAGCAAAACTCTCCTCATTTCATTGAGTGGAACACTGGAGAATTGAGGATTCACTTAATCTCCATCTAATCTCCATTTTGGCTCCGCTCCCGCGTGGGAATAAGTTTTTTGACTTCTGCAGCGAAGCCTTTTATTTTACGGATATCAATTTGACATAAATCCAGAATTTTGTAAGAAGTGGAGATACAGGCCTACTTCTGCATATAGATGCAATGGGGGAGCAGGGTGCCCTTTAGGTGAAGGGGGTTTCTGCTAACTCCAACTTAAAAAAGCGAAGCAGGTATCCTCGAGCTGAATGCCCACGTAAGCTTACATGCCGAGCGGGACTGGGAATGAGAAGAAGAAGAAAAGTGGTGCAGAGGTGTAATATGGAGAACTTCTCGACTTCGGCTACCAAAGATCAGCGAGTAGATACTTTTTGATTTAGAAAAGCTTTATGTCTTATCAGTCGACATACCTTCAAAAGCTTGAAATATGCTGTATCGATATAGACCGTCTCTTTTTTTTTTCAGCTCTTCTGTGAAATTACAAATAAAATAATCCAAGTGGCTACAGTATCATGATTCAATGCGACCACTTGACGCTCCATTTCCGAAAGGATGAAGCTAGAAAAATGAGACGGTCTAGTTCATTGACAAAGTCTTGCCCTGTACCACAGCTAGACAATTAGGCATCTTCATTCTTTCTTGGCGTAGAAATCTTCTTGCATAAAAATGATTTCAGCTTAAATGCCATGTGCCTCTGAATAGCAGGGCGCTTGGACAAAAGAGACAGCCACTCGAACTCTTTTAAGCTTTCTAATGGTATATGCAGGGTATCCCAGAAGTATGTATACACTGTTTGATCATTAATATCTGCTCTCCAAGAAGTCTTTTACAAACATTCAGGTTCCATTTTGTGGAGCTGGCTTCAACTTACATTAGATATGTAGTATGGAGCAAACCACCAATCGCTCTTCATTACTGTAGGATTATGGTAGGAACTCTTGGTTTACTTCGTCACTGTGGATTAACCGTTTTAAAGAAAGTTTTCAAAAGATTTAAACTAGCACCAAGGTTTTATGCGCGCTTATTTCACTACTCAACTTTCTAAAAGTCAGTAAAGCTTTTCAAAAGATTGTAATCACAATTTTAGGGAGCATTATGAAGACAACTATCACGTTTACCTCGCATAACTTATGATAGAAGCATTGCCGTCGTATAAAAGTTCATATTTGATTTTAGCTACTCCATTTAGCCTAACGTGAGAGTTTCTAGATTGTTTGATTTATTTTTCGAAGCGAAAGAGGCCTTCAGTTGCTCAAATCTCTTCTTGAAGTTCCTACCGTAATCCTACAGTAATGAACGAATCGTTGATTCGCTCTATAAGCAAATCTATGTTGAAACTAGCTCTACGAAATGGTATCTTAGGGTAGGCAAAGGACTTCTGGGAAGGGAGATGTCAACGATTAAATAGTGTATACGTACTTTTGGGACACCCTGTGGATTGGTGGATGAGGAAATTTGTGGCTCTTCGGGGATGGTGTGGGGATAATTACTGGGACTTTGCTCCACCCCTTCCCTCCTTCCCCCCCCCTCTCCCATCTCCCACTCCTACCCCTTGGGTCGCCGAAGCAGGATTTTTTTGGAGCGGGAAAGCTTTATGCGCCAACAGTTTATATACGTTCGATAGTTAAAAGCACGAGGAATCAAGCAAACCGTCTCTTTTTTTAGCTATTCTGAGGGGGATTTGAGAAATTTTATCTCGCTATAACATCATCTAGTTCTGTCAAACACTTTATGCTTCGATTTCAAAATGGAAGAAGTATCTTCTGAAGCTTTGGATGTGAATGAAAAACTTAAAAATCAAGGAATCTGGACTGGACTGTTCCTTCTCTTCTGTCATGCTCTCCAACGAAAGAAGATATAGGCCCGTAGTAAACCCCCATCAGGGCATCTCTCTTGAGCCGGGCCGGAGTTGATCTCATCGCGCCTCAGAACATTGCCAGGGGAGGGATTGATTTGGAGCAGATCACTTACTGGATGTTCGCGTTTTCCAAGATGAAAACATCTCTCTCATTTGTGCATCTTTAGTCAAATGGATAAGAATAATGCGTTTCAAGCGGCAGGCCGTGGTTCGAGTGCGGCTAGCGACACCGTTTTTGCTACTTGGCTGGCGACCTTTGATAACGGCCGCTGTCGAAAAAATCGATGATAGCAGCTATCAAAGATTTCACCTAGCAAACAACGAGATAAAACAAATACACATTGTTTTGGCATTTATATGGGGAAAACGGTACACTTGGCGAAAAATAAATAGAAAGTAAATCTACATTTTTGTCATCTTAAGCGGTTCTTTGAGAAAAACAAGCAAAAACTGCAAGAAAAATGCACAAAAAACCTTTTTTTCCGATTTCGTCGCGCAATCAGCTGTTCATCGATCCTCATTCCCTTAGGCTGCGTTCATACTGATTACGAAATCCGGGAACAGTTCCACCATAGTGCTTGAACTGAGCGTTGTGCTGAGACTGTTCCGGATTTCGGGATCAGTATGAACGCAGCCTTAGGCGCCCGAAACTGTGCAGTTTTGGGTGTTTTGCACCGCAAAAGAACGTCAGCTGCGATGTTTCGTAAGTTACTCGGGAGCAACTTACGGAGGATTTCTCTGTACTCTCCTCTTTAGCACAGTATTTACCTAACGTCGTCGCCCGGCTCATCTCCGATGACTCGGTCGGGAGCTGATCTCCCTGCCGGGCCTCATCTGAAGTTCACCTGTAGGGTGACCTTCCATACTTATACTACGGAAACGCGGATAGTCCTCATCTCACCCAACAAAACCACATATGAGAGCCTCAGGGGAGATCATCTCCCGTGACCGAGCTTTACTACGGGCCATAGTTCGATTCTTATCGGTGATCATACATCCATCATAAGCCAGACCAGACTTCCAACTCTTGCAAAATACTTTGCGACCATGTGCATTCATTGAAAAATGTTGCTAAAGAAAAGAAGATTATTCAAGAGAACTAGACGTCTATAAATCTTTAATTCATTTACTTTTCAAAACTAACCCACTCTGAGTGAGACAGGAGGTTTGAAAAGTTCAGTCATGCACTGACTGTGAAGAAGCAGTAGCGGGCATTTCAAAAAATGCACATTTGGTGGATGTTTATTCTGCCGTCTTTGATTCTTGTCTCAACTTCAGGTGAAGGCGCCATCCGGATACCGACTCAAAGTGAGGGGTGGCTGAGGAATCGCTCCACCCATCGCGCCTATGGTGCAAGCTGCTTTCTTGTTATTGTTAGAAAATATGACTACTTCGTTTGAAAAGTTCGCCTTTCTGTATAAATTCCCAAAAAATATTAGCTTCAGCTTTTAAATTGTCAGTTTGATATACAAACTTTCGAGAACATGAATTATGAAAATTGAAGGATGGTTAAATACCCCGAAAACATGTCTTTTCATCTATCTAATGCGCAGCGACGTAATGATCCATTAGAACAGATGTGAGCAGTTTACAACTCGGACATTTTTCCAGCAACTCACTAGTAAGTTTAGGTCATGAAAATGCTCGTCTTCTTATTTACAGACTTTCTTGTCCTTCCAATTGCAGCAAAGCAAAGAAAATGAAACATCCTTTAGGTTATTTGATCAAGAAAAGCCTCTCCCCATCGCTGATGAATTTGCGTATGTTACAAAAAGATGAAAATCAAGAACTTTCTGATCCGCTCTTACCTGCCAGGGTCGAGATATTATTTTAGAGAATTTATTAGGTTGTCCCGAAAGTTCGTTCGCACCATTTGCAAAAATTCATAACTCTTTAAATTCTCGACGAATTTGTGCGATCAAATTTTGCTTAAGAGATGAACTCATGCTCTTTGCACATGTACCCAAACTTTCGTTAATGTATGCAAATGAAGGAGATAGAAGCTCAAAACCAAAATCACTCAAAATTTGAATTTTTCGTGTAGGGCCATAAAAAATCGGAAACTTGCAACAAATATCGGAGTAATCGGTATTGTACTGACTGTTGGAAAGAGCTGGTGGAAGAGCCTACAATACCGACTGCTCCGATTTTTGTTGCAAGTTTCCGATTTTTTATGGCCCTACACGAAAAAATCAAATCTTGAGTCATTTTGGTTTTGAGCTTCTACCTCCTTCATTTGCATACATTAACGAAAGTTTAGGTACATGTGCAAAGAGCATGAGTTCCTCTCTTACGCAAAATTTTGATCGCACAAATTCGTCGAGAATTTAAAGAGTTATGAATTTTTGAAAATGGTGCGAACGAACTTTCGGGACAACCTAATAAAAAGGCATTCTCTTGGCTCCTCTAACAAGGAAAGGAAACTTGGTGACCGTGGCCATTCGGAGTGCTACGTATACCACAAGATGCACCTCTAAAGCTGATTCCAAATCTGTGCTCGACATCTGCGAAACGATTTTGTGTAGGAAGTTACCAACCTTTTTTCGTAGAAAATTTGCGTACTTTTGTGTAGTTAAAATCACCATATTTGTTCTAAGATACCATTTAAAGCTATTGAAGAGAATCTTAAGCGACTACTGTTTTATTAGAGCTATCTAAATCATATTCAGCATTTGAAAAGGAAAGAAAAATTTTGTTGATGATTTTGACCCTCCGCAGTAACGCAGTTTATTCATGGAAAAATAATAATAACTCCACCCAGATTATCGTTTCGCATTTAGGGAAGACAGTATTCGAACCAGCATTGAGAGGCGCATTTTTCGATATACAAATCATTATGGATGGCTGCGGTGACCAAGTATTCCTTCTTTGTAAGGAAGCGAGTCGTAATATTCCGTTTTCAATATATTATTCAAAAAATATTTTGAATACGTTTATTTGAATACGTTTTGAACAACATGAATAAATTAGAAAGAAAGACCAATATGGCATACAACCAGTGAGCATCTTTTCAAGCTGATCGTCTAACGGTTCAGACTACATCGACTACAAGCACAGCCGCGCAAATAAGTAAACAAATTTGAGAAAAGCGCAGCTGTGCGCTACAATACTTAGGGGAAAGATACATGCGTAATTGTGTTGAGTTCTTTTGCACAAATGCGCTTCGTCTGTGCGCACCGGAATTACCCGTTACTTTCCGGTATTCGTAACGTAGTGTATCGATTCGAACCACCGATTCGGTTGGAAACGGTTCCAGAATCCAGGTCCTGAACGATACATTGAAGCAGTAAATGGTAGATATCATAAAGGAAAAGTCTACATACCTCTTTCTCCAATCTTCTGGAAGGCCAATTCTGGTTGGGGCGCCGGAACAGTTACCGGTAAAGGTTTGAATGTGTGCTTTTCCAAAGATGTCGTTTGCCATTGTTTCTCCGTCGCTTCAGTACTTCGATCTTCCGGGATTGGCATTTCCCTGCAATGCTTCATCATTAGAGTCAGTAACATATACAGACGCTACAGTTTCACACTCGTTTGAAGATACTCGTGGAATGGATCGTTATTTTACTAGTGCATCACCCCAACGTTTGATTCAGCAAGATCCCAAAAAGCACCCAAAGTAGTGGAAATCATGGAACTGACTTTTCTGAGTAGAAAATGACTGGGAGGCTTCAGTCAAGCACTGTGCAATTGGCTGCTCATGCTGCTTAGCTGGTGCCAAGAGATTTAACTTTGAATTCAGTCCAAACCAGGCAGGACGCTGATTGGTCCGTCAAGAGAAAGTAAGGGCCTGGGTTGAAATTTGGGGTTAAATTTCTTGGCCCTGGAGCTATATGATGGGGCTTGCAGTTCTAAAGTGTCATTTTGGCCCTACACGACATCACCCTAAAGGCGTATTGACTTTAATTGCATGCCAGACAGACTCTGAAATTTTCAAACCAAGTTGAAGTCTAGATCGTTTTACCGTTACAATAATTGAAATCTTCAACTATTATGGACATTTCCTATTCTCATATGTTGGGAGTAAGAAAACCCGCTTTAAAGAGATAGTACAATTTCCTGCGCTCCCAAAAAAGTCGATCTAACAACTTCTAAAAAGACAGTGTTTTCCGTTCATCATTTTACGGATAACTGCTTGTCATTTTTCCAAGATTCAGCCAGCACTTTCACTTTACTTTGTGCGACGCATATGAGATAGATGATGACATAGCTGCCTTATAAGCTACAGGAATGATGAAACTGAAGACTGAAGGTTGCGGCAAGTGTTTCTTACAGCAATTCTTAAAGATTTCATTCCCAGACCCTTTAAAGGCAGCGTCCGGGCAAAATTTCGCCTCTCATGTTTCTGCCATTCTGGCCTTTCCTGGCCCTGATTACAGTCGTAAAGTCCAAATTGTTCAAAACTCCCAAAAAACCCGGTTCTTGGGGACCCTCTCTTCAAGGAGCGGACGAGTTTCAAATTGCTCGTCCCCATCGTCATGCCAGCGGGAGGAGCTGCAGCTGCACGGATGCAGTTGCATTGCAACTGCAATGTAACCGCACACCTGCGTAACATGCCCTCAGGGGTGGTTTGTGATACGAAGGGGCGGCTTGTGATAGTATCACAGGCCCGTATCTCCTTCTAGAGGGTATGTCAAAGGATTGGACCAACGCAGATCGGATACACATGGGCCCCTCTTTACAACTATGTGATAATCTGGGTGGATGGATCTTGCCTGGACGCTGCCTTTAATGAGCCGTCGCGACAGAAGAGTCATGGTCTGTCCAAATTGCGCAAATTTGTGATTTTTTACGCCTCAAGGCACAACTATAATATTTGTACCACATCGATTCCAATTCTCCCCCCCCCCCTCCCCCTGCCCCCCCTTTGTTATAGTCTCAACGCACGATTTCTGATACTCATGCCATTCACTTCCTCACTTTGCCCCTCTCACAATTCGGTCCTTATAATTCTCTATAGGTGTACAAAATCATACGTACTAGCAAATCTTTGGAAGATAAGCAAGCTTTGAAGTCAAAAAAATATCGTCGCTAAAACTTTGAGGAGGCAGCTTGTGAATGAATTATTAGGTTGGTGCAAAATAATGTCCGTTAATCTAGGTCTCATCTAAAGCAACTTTTTCAGCAAACTTTCTTACTCAGATTTTGATTAACATTGAGAAGTTTTCTCCATGTACTCTTTAACACTGGTGCAATTAGGCTTCTATCCTCATCTTTGAGAATCTCGCCAGCATTTAGCACAGCCGCACTCACAATCGAAATTTCATTGCCTTCACTTTCTTGGCCACAGTTAAGGTGCAAATGAACTAATTCTTTTGGAAACATAGCTACTACATGGAATGAGTATTGTTTACCTATTGCATGCTTAAGTATTAGGTCGTCAAGAAGAATAATGTCTTTTCATGGCAAAGCCATAAGACAAATCCAAAAAACTATGTGAGGGGTACCATTCGATAGAGCAAAGGAAGCTCTACAAGACCAAATTCGAACATTGGCAGAACTTGTTGTTACGCAAAGTTCAGGGCCAAAACATACGAGCAACTCGTGGGCAAAAAATGATTTTTGCCCCAGAAAATCCTGCGAGCTTCTCACTTGATTCTGCTTGCAAAGGACACATGCACTTATCCATAAGTACACTTGCTATATTATTCCATGCTTAGCAACCAAGAAAAAAATTGAAAAATGGAAAGTGGCAGACTTCGCCCCCAGTTGTACTGGGCTCTCCCACATATGTCTTTGTATACTACAAAAATTAGTAACTTCAACCATAAATCGGCTTTGGATATGCTCTAGTTCTCAAGTAATATCAATTTTACTCAAAAAACCGAAAAAAAACAACATTATTTTCTTGACAACCTTTCCAGATATTTCGAAAAACCTATAGATTTTTCGAAATATCTGGAATGAGAAATCGATGCCTTAAAATAGATGCTCTGCTGCTGATTTTTCATGTGTCAGAAATTTCAGGATTCTCAGCGCCACCCACAAGTAACGAGCGCCCCCCCCCCCCCCCCACCCCACCCAGGAAAACGAATAGTGAGGGCAAAGAAGAAATAAAGCTCGAAAATGCTGTCGATGTCAAGAAATTTACCCGAAATCCATCCGATCTTTACCTGCAGCTCTTCCGAATGTAATTTTCGTTACTAAAAGGTTGAACTTACGTCGTAATGACATATTCTTCGGGTGTGGTTTCTTCGGCTGAATATGGCACAGTAGTTTCTTGAATATCTCCAGTCTCTTCTACTTCTTCAATGAACGGCTCGGGAGTTGTCTGAATCAAGAGAGACTGTGGTGTTTATCAAGTTCGACGCAACCAAGCGTCAATGAAAACTAGACCAGATAAAGGCAGCAAACATTTTTTAATGAAAGAAATTTAAACTTTCATAATGTGTCCGAGCTTTTTAAAACGTGCAGCAATGGAGTGGGGACCCATAAAATGATTTATTCGTAGTGTTTTACTTTGTATGTAGCTTTGCGCCAAGACAGAAGTACTGAAGAATTCATACTTGTTGAGTCGCATCCCACACTCTAAATAATAGATCTTCTACAATTTCTGAACTAAAAAGGAATTTTCATGGCTATAAAAAGGGCCTGGCGATTTCCGCTTTTTCAGATGGTTACGCGATCTTACAAGGGAAGGACACTAACTCAGATTTGCCTTCAAAAATGACACATATAAATATGCTGTTCCTCGTTGATTAGCATTATTCTGAAGCTAGTTATGGTCTCTTTTCTATGCAAAGTTTGCATGCTCCTCGACCTACTGGTGCTACGGTGTTGACGTCTAGGTGGTCTTGCAATTGTACAATGCTCTCTTTCAAAATCGAATGAATCAGTCTAAGGCTAGTTCAACATCTTAGCACTTTTCTCGAGCAAATTCTTATCTATACGCCGTCTTACGACATTCAGAAGTTTGTTATTTACTCACAATAGCAAGCCCATAACTCGCTTCGAAATAGCGCTAAGCAGCGAGGAAGCATATTTGGAATCAACTTCAAAGATGATTTCAAATATATGTGTTCCATCTGGAAGGGCCAATCGAATTTGTACCCTTCCCTTGTTAGATTCATTGCTAAAATGAGCTTTAGGAGTACGTAGAAGAGAAAAAGTGTTATTAAAAAAGATGGCCACGATTTGGCAAGACATAGCGGATATGCTCTCATATCTCGCTTTTTCCTACACATGGGCCATTGGTTGTTAAGTCATTATCGAGCCATGGGAGAGGCTAATCAGACGATTCTCTCGAAAAAGCGTCTTTGAAGAGCAGTCAAGATCTTTGTCGGCAGTGTATGTAAGCAACAGTCATGACAAGGATAATTTTTCTGACAAAATATCATGAATTCACGAAAGGAGCTGAGAAGATATCGACGAAGATAGAAACGTACCTTGATAAGTAGGCGACGTTCTTCTTCTTCTTCTTCTATAGACGTCGTCTCTGTCACCTGTTCGATTGGTTTTGGAGCGACAGTTGTAGTGGACAGGAGCCGTTTCCAGAATGGAATATTTTTCGGGGACACTTTCTTGCTTGGACTAACAGTGAACCTAAAGGAAAGTGATGTGGTGAACAATTCCATAAATCGAGACATGCAGACTCACATAATAAAGTTCTTTTATCCCTAACATTGTATGCAAGTAGTTCTCTTAACGGCAGAATCATTGAAAAAGTGGAAATTACAGCGTTAGTTATGTGTTTCAATATTAGAGTTCTTTGTAGCATGTACGCATAACTGGTTGTGATATCCAAAGATGCATACGACAATTTAAGCGAAAGGTGTCTAAGTTTGGACTCGCATTTTGGAAAATTGAAAAACTGCTTTAGAAAAGAGATTTGGTAAAATGGTTCACGTTTGAAGGAGGCGTTCAATTAGATGTGGTTACCTAGTATTTTATGTATATTAGCGATGGTCAAGAAATTTTCTTAAAGACTCGACAGACTTTTTAAGCGGCGGAGGGGGAGGGGGGCAAGCCACGCTTTCAGAACATTCTCGTAGACCACTTTCAAAAATTTAGCTATCCGATCTCAAAATTGCCTTCCTCTCTCTCTCCCGACGCTGCACTCACAGCTTTTTTCTGTGCGCTCTATAAGTGCGAATCATTACGGTATTTATGAAAGTTTCCACCTCCAATGCCCCAATTTTCTCAAGTATATGCCTAAAAAGTAAAAGTAATTATGAGTTGACAAGGCGCATATGGAGATGTGAGCCCTCAAAAATTCCAGCGATTCTCTCCTAATTACCTTCTACCCTCTAAAATATAGTTTTGGGGCACGCGCTCCAACTTTCATGAAGCAATCACTGTGTTCATCCTTACATGTAAATGAGTAGTTTGCTTATATCAAAATGTGGTGATTACTAACAAGTTTAGCAGGGAGTTGTGCAAAGGTTGTATGCGCGTATCTGCGACACAAGGCAGAATGTAATGTATTGCAATCTTGTCAGGCTATCGAAAAATCTCCTATGGTGAAACTTACCTATCCCATATATTACTCTTCGATGTGGTTTTGAGTGGTGCTGATGTTGTAGTAGTTGGTCTCGAACGGTTGGGCTTTTTCTTTTCAGCAGGCTAAATGAGTCACTTTGATAGACCACTAACTCTTCTCCTCTATATGTGATGTGTCAAGGTTTGAAAGAAGAGCAGAAATTAAGCCATGCAACTGGAAAAGATGAACGAAGGAAATCTAGGACAGCTTCCGTAACCTTACCCTCCTCTTTGTGGTGGTTGTTACGGTAGTTTCTTCCTCTTCCACTTCATAGTCGGTCTCCTCAGTTACAACCGTGGTCGTGGTGGTCGTGGTAGGACGAGTCTTGGAAGGTTTTGTGGCTCGAGTAAGAAGTCGATTCCGATTTATCTATAGTTCAAGAACGAAATGACATGCGAACTTAAATGAAAGGATGGAACAGTGTCCGGCAACGAAGAGATAGATGCATGCTACAAAGCCAGATTTTCTGAATTGCAAGATTTTTTCGTGAAAAGTCATGCAGAAATTAAACTAAGGACGGAAAGCGACAGGAAAGCGTAAGGTAACTTCTCATATTTGTGCGTTTATGAAATGTGATTGAGTGGCACTAATACCGATTAGTATTTTGACAGAATTGTGGGAAAAATGACTCGAAAAACAAAGAAAGAGTGTTTATGTGTATGTGTTTCAGCAATGACCAAGATTTTTATCAAATTTTTACTGGCTAACGCTGCGCCTGTTTCGCCCTCGTCAGGGCTTGTGAATTTTGAGAATAAACAGTGATAAATACGCGATCTGACGAAAGCGAGATCGTCGAAAATTACCCAGTAAATCTATGAAGAAATCTTGGCCATTGCTGGAACAGTCATACACATGAGTACAGACAAAGAGTTTTCTACCTTTGCAAGAAAAAAAATTTGATTACAGTTTGTTTCAATTACATACTCCCTTCCGCAATGGAACTATGCATGCGCAAACACAACGCAACGCGCGTGAAAGTGGCGCGTCGATTGCGCTCAAGGGAAAGGGAGCATGTTATTGACAGAGAATGTATGAGTCTATCCTTTTTATGTCAAAGGCCATTGAAACATGTTTTCGTAACTCAAGAATGCGCAACATCTGGTAGTTATAATTTAGATTTAGTAAATCAGATTAAGTGAAGCAGAATTTTGCTTGCAATTTTTAATGCAACACCTATATATGCTACAATCACCGTCCCATGAGGAAATAAGTCAAGACCATCTTAAAAAATGCCATGGTTCGCTTCAGCGGTAATCAAATTCTTTGCGGCAAAAACTTCGCAAATGCGCTTATTCTTCTTTAGGCAATTTTGCTTGACCGTCGCGTCTTTTGTTTCTGGAAGAAAAGAACAAACCCTTGTGGTATTTTCGGTTGGAAGTTCCTCTTTGATTAATGTGGAGTTCAGAATTCCTTGCTGAGTATTGCAGATGGACGTGGCATAGCACCGTGAGATCATCTGAAAAATTTGAGTCAGATCGATTCAGAAGAGAGAGACAAACGTACTTGATGTATGTATGCTTTTGCCTTGTAGCCGTCCTTGTGGTATTTGGCTAAGAATGTTTCAAAAGTGCCAGACTGACGACAGTAAGCAGCATCGGATGCATCTTGACAGCGGAAGGTCAGCTTCTCGCCTAGGTAAAGCGAACATTACCATATTTTTGGAAAAGAGCCTGGAAAACTTGACAAATAACATAAATTCAATTTCCACTATGAATACGATTATTAGCTCGCTTTCCTAAAATGATAGCAGGATCAATATACTGTTGCAGCAAATTGCAGGGTGTATTTATTGTAGTCAACGCTATCATTTTTTCAACATTAGAGGGCTTCATAATTTTGAGAAGTGGTTTGTTTGTTTGCAGAGTGACTGCTAACAACGGGGTGGAGGAAAGGAGCGTTTGTAACTTCATATAAGTTGCAAAGCTAATCAAATGGCTTGATAGTCGTAAATAACTAGAATAATTATTTCAATTTTCCAAAATCTCAAAATTCTGCAAGAAATGTTTCCAGGGACTTAACTACCGCCGTATTTCTTTGTATTCCGGGTTTATGAGCAGCAATGAAAAGCATTCCAAAAAATATTCGGAGTGCTTGGCTAATCCCGTCCATCTTTATTCGAAGACTTTTTGCCCCCCCCCTTCCAAACGGAAATCCTGGTACCGCCACTCGCTGAACTATACGTCATTAGTGCAACAACTGATATCGATGTATACAAAAATTGTTTTTAGATGATCTTTGAACTCTTCCGCTACCATTTCATGCTAATTGTTTGTATTGAGTAATGACTCTCAATTACGAAAACAGAAGAATGCTGATTAGCTATCACGCTGCTAAACAGCGTTGTTTTGCGGGAGCCGAGGAGTTCGTGCGTATCACGAGTGCAGCGCCAAACAACTTGAAGACAGCAGCAGAGTTACGAGCAGGCAAAGCGCGCAAAAACTCGGATCGCCCCGACACTTGTACGAGCAAGAGCAGCCGGACACTCGTACGCAAACGAAAAGAAACAAAAAGCATAGCGAGAATAGCGCTGATCGGACATTGTTGAGATGCTTTTGGTGGATTCTGTAGGCTATTGCGCGGATTGTCTGGAAATTACAGAAGAAAACACATGGAACATCTCTACTTCAACTTTGCACAACAACAACTCTGGTTTATTGATTGAACAGCCCAAAGTTAGGAAATTGGGTCCTTCTTGAGATGCTACTAGGCAATGTCTCAACGGCTTCCAAGCAAAGTTCACTCTTGATCTAAATTTGTGAAGTGGAGATAAAAATGAACTATTGCCATCAAGCAAGCTCTAACAACAAAATGGAGTATTTATAAGTATAGGCTGGGTATGGGCTTTGCTAGTAGTATGGGCTTTGCTCTAGCAGAAAAACTGATAAATGAAAAGACCATGATGTATCAGTTTAGGCAGAGCTGGGTGAAAGAGGAAAACCATACCTCGTTCATGGCAGTAATTGAAACACATTACTCCAAAGCCGAGTTGTTGGCAAGCTCCATGACGAGCTTTGAATATAGAGGCACAGGTTTTCTTATACTGAAGAAAAAAGCGGCAGTAGAGCCACAGTAGTTATATCAACTTATCTTACCTGGAAATTGCTGCCCACAGGTTCCTTGGCACCTAACCGAGGGAGGATCCATGTCTTGTCCACAGCTCGAATCAGCTGATTCAACTTGTCCACATCGATAGTTTCGGTTCGCCCAGGACTCTGGAGAATTAATTCACGATTGTGTTTATTGTACTTTGATAAGTTAAACGAACACTTTGAGTTTTCACTACGGTTCTCGGAGCCTGTACAGACAGCTGCCGCGATTTTGTCTGCTCTATTGCACGATTCACTTGAGCTTGTCGTGTGCCTGAATTATATAATCTTGACATATTTGAAAGCAGAATTTGTCTTGTAGATATTCTTTTTATCGATTTTTTTAAGGAGCGATACACACGCTTAAATTTCACTAGGACGCTTTCTCGTGGTTCTATTGAGTTCACCTGGACTGGTCCCACTAGGGATCAACCTCTTCAAAGGATGGTTTTCTTTGTTTGAAGTGTAAGTCGACTGCTATCGTTGGTGCGATAATCGGCTCAAGTCGGCTGCTGCGTGCGAAAAACGGGAGTCGCGCAGCGCCTTGTTTGACCTGGGGCTTTTTTGAAGCTCTCGAATTTCTCTCGCTGTCAGCTTAGACTTGATGAAGCTTCTACAAATGCTCATTTGTGGTGATTTCGCATTTTTGGCTAGATCAAAAACTGTAGTTAGCAAAAAGTGGCAAAGGATAGCAAAGGAGAAGAGAAGGGTTAGGAAAAATGATAGTTTGCAATAAAGCAGGTAGCGTATTGAAGAAGATCAGCCGCACAATTCTACTTGAAGTGGAAATTTCCTTCTCAGAAAGGTCAAAGTGGAAACATCCTATCAAAATATTGGAATTTAGATGCTATTCTAATACTGGCCCAGTTATCCCAATTCTAACAAAATTTGCGTATATAGTACTGTCACTTTGCTCATTTGATATATCTTAAGATCAGAGGCTAGGACACTTATAACGCTTAGAGAGGAGCCAGAGTAGTGAAGGACTTTCCTAATTGGCTTGTCTTATTTGACTCGATTAAAAAAAATTGTGCAAATATTATGTGGATGCCTGATGCTCCTGATCTATGTCTAAGTGAACAAATATGGCGGTGTTTTGTAACGTCCACGCATTTTTGACGTAATACACCCTTGCTAGATTTTCTAGTAGTCACGGTTTATTGTAGCTCTTGAAAGTTACCTCGCTAGCGAACAAAATACAGTATATATAGAAATAAAATCAATATATATATAGAAATAAAATATCAATGTTACTTGCCCCTATCTTTGAAAGAAAGTGGCTCATAGTAGTATTTACTCCCCTCTGCTCAAAGAACTCTACTGTCACATAGATGCAATCTGTCAGCCAAGAAGGAAAACAATATAGAAATAAAAACAAGGAAATTGAGGAGTAAGGTAGTGCAAACAAATAAAAGAGGTTAGAAAGCACATGTAAGAGAACCCAACAACTTTCGTTCTTGTCCTTTGTTCTGCGAACGAACTGAAAAGATCCCAAAATCAATGCAGAAAATATGAAAAAATACTTCACCTGCCATCGAAATGCAGTTAAGGTACCTTTTTTCAAAGAGATCAGTAATGATGAAAGGTTTTTGGTGTAAACGTTGGTAATCTAACAACTACATATGAATAAATGAAGGGGTTGGAGTAAAGTGAAGGAAAGGGGAGGGTGAGCAGAGCGATATATTAGGAAAGGTTTGAACATACAAGCATACAAGCTGGCAAACCACAATTTCAGGAATAATGTAAAATATTTTTCAAGAACCATTACTTCCGCCCTTTTTCCTATCGAGCTTTCTCAAGTGCAATTTTTTTCATGAGGAAATAGGAATGTGACAGAATTGAGAGGACAAGGAACGTGACGCCACTCTTGAGAAATGTCGGCGGTTTGGTTGACATAGACCATATGAAACAAGAGCATCGAAGCTTGTTTGCTTATACAATCAAACACTTTCTACAAAACAAATATTACATCCATAATCAAGCTATTGTTGTGGTTTGAAACTTTATGAAGGTAGTTTGCGGACCAAAGGCTTAATGTGCGCTGTTAAAAGCGAAAAAGAATTTGTAATACGGTATCCATAATGATATGATAAAAGCAAGGGGTTAGTGTGATAGATGGGGAACTAAGAGCTACAGCCTAAAAGAGTTAGTCATTGAGTGGGATGAATAAGCAGCTTAGAAATGATGATCAAAAATGTGAATAAAGGGCTGAAAAGTTTGCTAAGAACAGAGAAGAACTGCGACTTTGTTTACACTTTAGGTGAGTCTTGTTCGGGGAGTCCTTTGGATATGCAAGAAACCAAGATGGAAGGAAGCAAATCACATTTTGGGTACTGTAGTCTGAGATAATAGCGAGATAATTCCATTGCGGATAGTGATAGCAAGTTTTCATTTATTTATCACGCCTGGCTCTTTTCGAGCTGTATGTTCGGTTTCAAAATAAACATGGGAATGGGAATGGGAAATTTTGCCCTTCACAAGATGCAGGTACAGTAATCTATTCTCGAAATGTCCAACTCACCAGCAGTAGTGACCAGTATCGAGTTGGCTGCCAGAAACAGCGCCACACGAGCGATGAGTCGCATGCTGAGTACGACCGCTTTCGAAGGATGCGATTAAAGCTGACTGCTGTGTCTAGCAGTGTGAGCAGCGATCGTTTAGAGGTGTGCTGGTCACTCAGGCGGGGACCGGGCGGGGGCGCGGTCAAGCCCGGGGCGAGAGCTGCTGAACATAGCGTGTACGATGAAGAGGTATGAATTCGAAGAATGGACCGACGAAGACGGACGGATGGTCACGAAAGCGGCTGAAGGAAATTGGAACAGCAGCTATTTTGGTCACTGAGCTGGTTGTGCTCAGCTTAATCGCTCGCCGGCGGAAATAAAAAGAAAGATGGGTGCTCCGATTGTAAGCACTTTGCAAACTGATGAACACAGATTCAGATTATTCATTCACTCATAGATAGATCACTGGTTTTGTTGAAATCAGCTAAAGCAATAAAACAGGGCCAAAAATCTTACTGTTTAATCTGAAATATCTCTCTTTTCCTGATGTTTTCCGCCAGACTTGCGTACCATTCTGTAAAATTGGCCTCAACTCAAATTTATAGTGTAGACCGAAGTAACGACTTCTCTTCATTACTGTAGGATTACGGTAAGAGCTTCCAGCTAATTGTGGGCTCGCAAGTTAGCTGCAATTTTAAGAAATCCGCAAAACACCTAAAATCCTTTTGGTGGGGATTTTAGAGGTGCAGATCCCAGGTAGTGACTTTCTCCAATTCACAAAGCGTCTAGATTATGCTAACAGGTTTCTGACCTTTTCAGGGAATACTGCTTCTGGAATATATCGCACAAGTTTGAACTGTGGTTTAACGCGCGATGGCAATGTATGGAAACGTCCTCTCTAATTTACAAGGAAGGGATGTCGAATTGTCCACCCAATATGAGTTGTATACTGCTTTAAAGAGTGTGAAACACTAATTCCAATCTTCCTTTCTTATCTGCTGTGGATTTCAGAGCAAGGAGTTATGATGGTTTTTACGGGCAAAAATTCCAATGCATTATCAGTGTGAAATCTGTTGTTGACTTTTCCTAACGTCAAATGAGGCAGCATTACGTGAATATGTTTGAGAATATTTATTGCATAGAACAACCCGAAGATATCTAAGTCCCAGGGAAAATGTTAGAACTGGTTTGTATTCTGCTGCACATTCGGAATCTTGCTCATAAAAACCTTTATAACTCCTCGCTCAGAAACCCGCAGCAGTTGAGGAAGGTAGATTTGGAAACAGCGTTTCCTACCCTTCAAAGCAATATTCTTCTATTTTGAAAGGCCGCTTCGACAAACCTTCCTTTCCTTGTTAGTAACAACGTTTTCAGCTTTCTAAAGTCTTTTGAAGCAAGAGTTATTTTCAATCTTGCAAAATCCTCTCTAAAGTTCGTACCTAGTCTTGCAGTGACGAAGAGCGGTCGATTCGCCTAAACTATAATTTTTCAGGCCTACTCTACAAAATAGTAATTCAAGAACGGCGAAAGACTTCAGAACGATATAGAAATTTCAAATCGAACAGCAGGGACGTTTTCAGAACATCCTGAATGATGCGGAGCCTGGCAATCAAAAAGCAAAATATTTGCTTGTCAAAGTTCAACTTGAAGTAATTATATGTAGTGCAAAACTCAAGCTAGGAAATAGTCTCGGAAAACTTCAAAAACCTATGCCTTCTGAGCGACAGCGCGTTATCCGAGTTTGTTTTCTCAAGGACTAAAGTAGGCCGAGTGTGAGTTGCGCAACCGTTCAACCTTCGAGTCCATATTTAGCAAGCAGTTAGTCCACACATAGGACTTGATCAGTCCACAAACATGGACCGCATAACATTTCTAACGGTATGGTCTCCGACAGAAACGTTCTTCTTCTCGCGTTTGTTTGTTTATTTGTTTTAAACAAGACCTGTTCGCACCATTCATGAGCAAATCGCCAACCGGCTCACCTGCTTGAACCTTGTGATATCAATGCTCGTTCAAATTTTAGTATTTCCAGCACATTGTGTCAGAATCGAAGGGCCTCAAATTGTGTTTCATTTTTTGAAGACCTTTCGCGTAGTCCGTAGTCTTGTCGATGCTTTGAAAAGTGTTTGTAGTTGCCTTAAAAACTTCTAAGGATACTATCAATATCGAAGGGCACATTTCAAAAGATGATATTATGTTACATTTCTCCCTGTGCAACTCCTGTTTGGAATTGAATGTGATTTTCAAACGATAGAGGGGGGGGGGGAGGGCGTCCTTTCCTACGGGAGGTTAAAGTGCCCGACTTATGCAATTCATTTATTTATATATTTATTTGGAATTAAACTCATGGTGCACCACTGGAAGAAAAAACAAAATCGAATAAGCATAATACCAGCCAGTCTTAAATACAGGGAGATTGTGATGTGTAAAAAGAGAAACAACCAAAATGCTCCAGATTAACTGTAACACATGAATGTCTCTGTTTTGCTTTTTCAACCAACTGATATGATTTTATGACTCTTTTAGCATTCAGATTCGTAAAAAGGTGGTGTAGCAGCACATATTCATTCTGGAAAGTGGGTGAAGTCAAGTTTATTTGGGAAGATCACCATTACGCTTCTCTAGAAACAAATTCTGAAGTCACTGATACATATAGGCGAGTCATGTCCCGCAGCCCATCTTGAAAGAATCATCTCCTTCTCTTTATCAAATATATCTAAGGGGGGGGGGGCTCCAAAAGTTTACGAGCCTAGATTTCCAACGTAGAAAGTTTCGTAGTATTCGTAGGTGAGTTTTCGTCTAGTTGTCAGTAATTTCCCGAAGGATTATACCGTTTGCATTGCACATTCTTAAGAAATTGTTATTGAAAGAAACAGTACTGCGGTTTGAAGTCAAGTCAATGGAAATGTACCCGGTGTTCAAACATATATAACTGTTTTGCTCCTGAAGCTTTGAATCGCAAACCGTGAAGCTAGTTTTCTCCACATCAAAAGCGCGAAAGCAATGACCAGCCTCTGTCCATTACTGTAAGATGAAGATAGAAATTCCTGAAGGCACGTCCGCTCAACTTCTCGAATTATATTTTTGTTGTTGCGGGGTCTCATGTCCCTGATTCCGAATATCAAGTTGAGAATCCGCGAAAATCCCGACAATCCACGTTCCGCAGAACCCGCAGAGTGAGTTCTCCGGAACGTTGATCGGTTGGGTGCAGCGGACAGGAGGGACAAACGTCACGCCGACTCGAAGGGGGAAGCATGCGGCGCCGCTATCGAAGCAATTTTCTCGCTTTGGAAGCAACCCATGTCAACGCGAGTTGGGCAATATACAGTTGGGGACCCTGCTACTATTAGGCATCAAAAGCTCATCGACCCAAGGTAGATGGTGCTTTTAAGGTGGTGATATGCTACGCAAAAAAAAAGTTTTCTCAAACAAAAACTAAAAGAAGCTAACTTCAATATAGATTTAGCCTGAGTCACTAATTCGAACCGTAAGCCTTTCGTTTTTTACCGAGATATTATTTTAGAGTCACTTCGGGTACACATAATTGCTGTTTTCTTGATGTTCTCATGAACTTGATTGCTAGATTTTGACACTTTTGCTAAATCTCACAGATATACTTCTCAAATTAGCTTGTTTTGAATCGCTGGTTCAAAAGCCTATAACTTTTTATACTTTACTTATACTTTATACTTCATACTTTTTCTTACTGATCAGTGGAAAGCAAAGAATGCTCTATCCCGTAGTCACATTTGGAGTTTGGAAAGCATTGAAATTTCAGAAAGAATTTTGGCGTCAGCTACTTGCCTGCCACGGTGCATTTGTTCCGCAAGCGTCTAAGGGCCTTTGCGAAGGCCAACAAACTACATGCTAAAACTCATGTGTCTATGTTGCTTCGTACAGTTTCAGTTGGAAACTACTAGGCCTAAAGACTTTACACCCTGCAGATGATGTAAGATTTAGTTCGTTTTTGGTCGATTTGCATTGAAGTCTTAGTGAATATTTTCATTGAAGAGCTGAAACGAGCAGTTCAATATGATGTTAGAAATGATCTGTGTTAGGTCTTCTGACCGCTGGAGTGTTGGTACAGATAACGCAATCTGAAGAGGTGACTTTACGACTTTCATCTGCTCGTATGATCCGACCATATGTTTTTAGCTACATTTCAGTCACTGAAGAGAGGAAGAATGTACCTCAAAAGCAGCGCTCAGGAAAAGTCTTGAATTTACTTACTCGTATCGATACGTAGAGATCTTCTCTACTTATCGAAAGCACTAGTAGGCAACACTCGGTGACTTCACCCTACCAAAATGATGGTGAAGGCTAGTGTAAGTAGAACGCTTTGGTAGCATAAGTTTTCCGCGCAAGTTTCAAAAACTCAGAAGAGTTCAGCAAATTTTAGAAGCTGCCCTAAAAGCGCCAACAGCCACAAACGAGAATGAGCTTTATTTCGTGTGGAGTGATTTTCAAATTCTAAAACGTTATGTGCACGCTTGACGTGTCATTGCGAGCAGAAATATGTATACTGTTGCAAGGTTTCGTGTACGTGCGGGCCTAAGTGCAAAAGTTTCCATTGATCCCTGTCCCTCGCTTCGGACATCCACGATCTTCTTGGTCGTCGTCGGCGGCTGCGTCCACGAGTTTCACGAGCGAAAATCGTATCCAGCTGATTTCTCAGCTGGTCCATTCGGTTCCACGAATACGTCTGCCCATCTCGTTGGTGATCTTCCTCGGGGACGTTTGGCTTCGCGATGAATCCACTCAGATGTTCTTAGTGTCCATCTGTCATCTGTTCTTCTCATGATGTGACCGGCCCATCGGTGTTTCGCTTTCGCGGCGTATTCCGCTGAGTCACGAAGACGGGACAATTTTCTCATACCTGTACTGCAAAGTGCGACTAGATTTTGTTTGTGTCGGGTCATCCTCAGAAGACTACGCTAGAGCGCTCTGTGGCTGGTCCGTAACGTTTTCGACGTTGCTACGGTGTCGGCCCAAGTCTCAGCTGCGTAGACTTCCTTCAGAGGCCTGAAGGCGGCTCAACGGGCATGTTCACGGGTGTTGATGAGCGGAAGAGGTTGGTGTAGAAG